GAGTATTTTCGAAAAATATAACATCAAATCAATTGGAAGTGTTTGAAAGTAAAATTCTACTTTTTTGTCAGTGATAAAGAAAATTATTTTGGAAGACTAGTGTGTAATTGAGAAAATCTAATCACTATAAAGTAAGCGAACGTATAAATATTAAACAAGAATTGCTGGAATAGACGAATGAATAAATGTGTCATCAATAGTCGTATGAAAATACCAAGGATACATTAAGGGTTTGAGGACAATACTTACAAAACGCGCAAGACATTTTTAGATCCACCAGAAGAACAAAGTCAATGTTCATCAACTAAAGATGTGAACAAGTAAAATGCAGGCTTGGGTCGGAATGTGCAACGGCCTCCCATTACTGGCCATTCGGAGGTCAACAAAAAAGTGAAACTGCCACAAGGAATGGCTGAATCTCTTATCGCACGGCCGCTCCTCATCCATCCGCACGAAACGCCTGGCAGGCTTAATAGTCCCGGCGTACCGAGCAATCAAAATAGCGGAACCGAGTTCGGGGCAACCAAGCGACCGCGAGCACAAAGACAAAGCGCAGAGGGACAAGTGCAGCGCCCTGACCAGCCGACGAATTCGCTCCTCGGTGCCCAATATAGCCAAGGCCAACGCTTCGCGCGCTCCTTTATGGGCTTCACTGCCCATTTTCGGGCGCTCGGTCATTCCGGCCGCGTCCTCGTATCCTGTAAGCCTCCGCGCGCTGACGCAAGAGTACGTGAGCCCAGGCGAGGGCGCGAGGCAACGGCTTATCGCCCTGGTGTGTCGTCTACGACGTGCGCTGCGAGCGAGATAGGAGAGCCATGTTTCGCTGTTGCACATTTCGCCTCGACGTTCGAGCGTCGTTTATCGTTGTGAGCGGCCATGCCTTTGCCTCATTTACCGCGATTAGCTGCGCCGCTGGTCAGGCTCTCTTGGTTTTTGCTACTTTTGCAAGTTGCACGCTCCCGACCGACCGCCCTGCTTCTGCACGCAGGTGAATCGGTGGCTTTGACGGCACACTGATAAGCGACCTTCTGATTATGCGCTTTGTACTACATGAGAAATTCTCTTTCGATGCAAATTCCACTGCTCGGCTATTTTCGTTATGAAATTATACAGTTATTGGATATTACAGTACATGAAATGTAATAACATTTATTCGATCGATAAAACGATAAATGCGTTGCGCAGACTTAGGATTATTCAGTATGTTTCATGCGAAATAATTAGTTGAATAAGTATATTTTATCGTTTATTCAATACTATTTATTTTTGCACTTTCTTAAGCGATGGAGTATGCATCCGTAAGTATTTTTTGTTTTTGTCAGTTAGAAATGAATTTCAATGGATTAAAATTATTCCATAATTGTTGGAGATTTAAATCGTTTGCGTTATTCGAGTGAGAAGAAGTCGAGTTTCTGTTAATCCGTGCAAGAATTGCTTTTAGGTTGTACAGTCTAGGTAACCATTCAACAAAATTACACACTAAAAGCCGGGAAGAGTATTTAAAATAAATAATTTATAAAATTTATAAAATTTATATACCTTTGTTGGATAAAATTATACACTTTGATGAGCTTCTTTCGCTTTTACAAGAATTGCAAGAAATTTGGTTTTAAACGGCATTGATAAAAGAAATTTATGGTGAAACAATATAATTGCAAGCTTTTGATTTAAGTATAATATTGTGATGCAGTATGAGCGTTCAAATAAGTTTCGATTAAGCTTTCGATCAAACAGCATTGCTGAAAATAACATTGTCGTGGTTTTGGCGTTTTGAAAACGAAAAGGCGAATTTGGCGCAAAAGTTTACAACACCGACATGACCAAAAGCGGAGCAACGGTAGAAAAAAATGACTTATTAATTGCGGCTCACCGTTACTCTCTAATTACATAGAAAACGAGAAATATGAGTAACTCTTGGTTTTTAAATCGTGCCTACTACGGTAGATGAAAGAGGCATAAAGCGCAAGAAGAAAAACTTTCGAGGACCAAGTTCGATCTTTCGGTCATCAAAGTGACCGGACGCCGATCGATCTCCCTAAAATTTCTACCCGCGTTATACGATTTCGCGATTATCCTTTCAAGCACGAGGAGCTTATCGAGTGTCGTCAGCTCGCGCCTTGATAAAGAGGCCATAATGAGGAGAGGGAGGAAAGTCTTATCAAAGCCGCATTCCCTCACGCGAGCAGCGTATCCTGCATCGGTGACTATAGATTCCGAGCACCGTCACAGACGAAGCGCAAGAGCGTGCGTAATAACCGGAAGTTACCTACGATAGTTTGGCGCCGTTATTAAAATGAGTTGCCCCCCCCCCTCTCTCTCTCTCGCTCTCTCTCTCTCTCTCTTTGGCGTTACCTTAATTAGTTCATTAATTTTAATTACACAACCGAGCCTCGCGTGTATTATGGCTCTTCATGGTGCCGAGTCGTGCGCAGTCCTCGCGCGATGTCTTTTGCCTTTCCCTCGCACGATCTTTACCCTCTCCTCCATTGTCTCTGTCTCTGTCTCTGTCTTTCTCTCTCTCTCTCTCTCTCTCTCTCTATCTCCCTCCCTCTCTCTCTCTCTCTCTATCTATCTTTTGTACTATAGCTATCTATCTATCTGCCCCCGTATCCGCCCTCATTCATTTCACTGCGCTTTTGACTGACGGCCGGTAATTGCAATAAACAGGTCATCGATGAGGCGAATCGACGTTGTTCAAACGTGAGTTTATTGAAAGAGAACATCTGACTACTATCTACATGAACTCCGTCGCCCGATGGAATATTAGCAATTATTTGGCATAGTACGACTATTTGACATTCGTTGGTAGATGTGCGCTCTGTACCTTGCGCATTGATTCTAACTATTTATACGATAAAATTATTGACGTTTCTCTGCTTAACCTTAATGTAAACGTATACATACTATTCCTAAATAGTTTTTATTTAAATAATGAATTATTTTTATCGCACATTGCCTTATGCTTATTCGTAATATTATGAATATTATGAGAATATTAATGGTCGATGAAAATGTAATTGCGATAATAACTTTATTCGCATTATAATAATCAATTACAATGAAATTCGCAATATTTACGTATATATGTTTATTTTATCTACATTTGCAGGAGATGTTAAGTATAAGCCTTTTGTGTCTGGCGAACCAGAAATAAAACGAATAGAACTCGATGGTACAGAGGACTTTCTAATTGTTGCCTGTGATGGATTTTGGGATCGTGCCACCGAGGAAATTGTCGCTTCACTTTTATACGAATATGTCTGCTCCAGTAACTGTAAGTACTTGCCCCTTACTTGCGTAAATGTCGAGTGAAATTTGGAACAAACTATTGGTTAAACAGCCTTGCAAATTTAACATTAGCTAATTGGCAGATGTGTCAATCGAGCAAAAATTTTTTTTCCATACATGAGATAAGTGATCATGCCAATGAACTTGGTTACTCGAGACGACACGGTTTCCTCCTACTTGTTGAGGTTTTTGCAAACCCTCAATATTATCGATATTGCAAGAAAATTCAGCAGCGCCACCGCATCGCGCACAGTTTTTAAGAACTTTGAGGTTAGCAGCCTTCCTTTCCTCAATCGTGGATAAAGAAACTTCCGCTAGACGACCTCGAGCTTCTGCTAGGATAGCCACCCAGTCGGTAGGAAATCGCGTCGACAGCAGCGGTTCTTCGCGGCATTGTTACGCTCTGTTTCCTAACTCAGGGACGGATGTCTACATGTAGACGGCATTGATGTAGTCGCTGTCGAAAAACATCCCTCATCTCTTGAATGTTCTTCGGGCCAAAGCGATTGGCCACTGACACGCCCACAAACTCAATTTACCCGTAGACAGAGCGACGAAATTATTAAATTTTGAATCTCGCATCCCTTTAATGTCTCACTCATTAGGCTTCAAGTTCATCTTGTTACATATCACACTTTTTTATTTTGCTTTGCTTTGTTTTTATTTAATTTATTTGTAAAAGCTACTGAGTTATAAGGATTATATAATTATTGTATTGGATTTATGGCTAAGTATCTTAAAAGATGTCAAAGTAAATCCATAAATTATACTATTTAACCTTTTAAGAGCGTCAAAATTCATGGATAACAGCAATATTCTATAGGTTTTAATATTTATAATACTACGTAATTGTATTAGGATATCTAATGGTGTAAAGCTCGCAGAAAATAAATTAATTTCGTTATAAAAAGCAAAATGAAAATAATAACAATGTACTTCTCAATTTAACGAAATGAGGGTAATGTGTGCAAAACGAAGCATAAAATAGCGAATGAACGTCGACGACGTGTCCGTGGCAAGGATCTAACATATACTTTACACGCGGCTCGTAGCCACGTACTTTAATCATCATTCAAACATACGTTTTTGCACGACCGTCTATTAGGATTCGTGGTTTTTTATATTTGTTGTAATAATTTTCACGCAAAGTAAAAGTCACTATTGATTACGGCTGAATTTCATAAAAGTGTTATTTCCTTAAGCATATATTTCTTAATTAAAAATATATTGTTAATGTTAGATTAATTTAAGGAATCATGAGATTTACAGCGAACTACGTTGTATTATAGAATACAGAAGATTCTTAATAATATTGTATTATATGCAGAAAATTAAATTATATACAATCGAGTCTTTCGTAAGAATTATAAATAGCATGTAATGTCAATTATATTTTCTTATTTATATTTATAAAATCCTTATGTTGAGAAATTGTGAACTTTGTAATACATATGATAATACTATTATTACTTAGTATGCTAATAATTTACTTTTCACAAAGGCCAGGTGACAAAAACACATACACACACACACGCGCGCGCGCACACGCACATGCACACACCAAACATTAAGGAAATTATATATTTAAACTATGAATATTTGTTATTGTTACACATGTATATTACACATAATCTTATTTATTATGCGATTAGATCTAACATCGGGCGTAACATGAATTACCATCTTATAAAAAAAATCATTTTGCCCTATCTCTATATGTAGGCAGTTAATTAATGAGGGGAGGAGCGCAATAAGATGTGTCAAATATTTATCATAAAATATCATCGTCTATTTATGAGTTATCAAGCTCTTACGAAATTGCTATTTCATCAAAGTATGAAGCAAAGTAGGTTATTCTCACGCAGATTAATCTCTCGCTAAAAGATTAACTCGTTTAGAGGCAGGAGGATAAAAGTACACAACACACTTGCATTGCTCTCTTACACCCTCGATAATGTAAATCCAGTCACCATTCTTTAACAAGCGAGACGCGAGCCTCTACAACCCCATTATCACGCCTCGCTTAGTTTCAATCTATATTTGAGAAGGGAGCGGGGGGTGGGGTGCTAGCCTAGCTGGAACTATTGAAACCATGATTAGGCTAGTGGCACGTGTCGCTTGGACGAATCTGTTCTCCCTATCTCTCATTGTCCTACAAAATTTCTCAAATAAACTCTCTGCTTTTCTCTTTGTCGCCCAACCCTTTCGTTAACATATAGAGACGCATGACACTACTATCGCTCTCTTTTACTCCGCCTCTTTCTCTTCTCTTTCAGTTAATCTTCTTTTTTCATTCGTTTGCAGCACAGGCTAGTCGTTAATGCGCACATGCATATGTCTACAAAACTAAAGTGAGAAAGACGAATGAGACATTTGCATACACCCTGTTTCATTTTTTTTTTTTTTTTTTTTTTTTTTTGGAAAAAAAAAAACCTTTTTTGGAATAAACAAAACCTACGCCCTAATTTCTTTATTTTACCTTTTAGTTCATTTGCCTTAAAATTGAATATTTTAAACTCTTAGAAACTATAAAATTAGAAGACTATAAAATCATCCAATAATAAACATCACTAAATGTACGTAGAAGTGTAAATGACGTATCTATAAAATTTTGATAGGTACTTACAAACGTAGTGTAGCTCGATTAAAAAAAAAAATGTTATTTACCATTAGTGTAAATAAATAAATTTTTAATTATGATAAATCATTCATTTCCAGGCTTGTGAAATATGAAGCATTAAATTGAAATAAATTACTCATAAATTTTGTCCAGATCGATTCATTTAACAAAGTATTATACTTTGGAACTAAGAATTTTTTAATACTGAATCTTTAAATCCAACTCAAACGAAACATTCTTATTAAACAACTTAATCACACAAATTATGCATATGACTTAAGCCCAAGTGTTTAATTTATTATTCCACATGTGAAACAAACCTATTTCGAAAAGCCTAAGTATTGGTAAATTAATTGTTAAGAACGTAGAGTGTAACAAAATTTTTTGTGTAACTTGAAGTCAAGTCATGTTGTGTTCTTTTTGCCGAGGAGTCTCCATCTATTTTTCTATTTACTTTTTTCGAATTTCCTAATTAAATTAATATCTGTTCTTTTATAAAAATTCATTTTTTGAAAATTCTTTTATACGATATCTATCATTTATTACACATTATCATCTAATATAATAGTTTAGTTTTTTTTTTATTTTTTATTATTATTCTGTTCCATTTTGCATTATTGCACATAACAACGCCTTGAAATTATAAGTTGTGAAAATATGATATTGATTACAAAAAAAATGTAAGATAAATATTCTGGTTTAAAAATATCGATTACAAGGTTATATATAAGGTAATGAAAGAAAAAATTGCAACAGAGAACTTTTTGCTAAAAATGTATATTGTAAAAATAGAGGTAACATTGTATCCATATCATTTTACGCCTTATATAGTATAGCCAAAGAATTTAATATTCTTACATGTTTGTTTGTTTGTTTGATTCATGTACATTTGTACGTTAGATTAAAAAAAAAAAGAAAAAAACATTCTTCTATGTCGAGAACGAAAAAAAAATGTTTATAATTCGTATAATAGATATAATAATTATATTACCAAAAATGAATTATAATTAAAGTTATAGTACGTATAATATATTTTATATGAGCTTATATAACCGTATATATGTACCAAATATATATGTACCAATCCTTCGATAAAACGCAAATAAAATAAAATCTTTAAATATTGCCAATTACAAAGCTAAACAATGTATAATTACAACTATATTTGCCATGTAATAAGTAAGGATAGAATATAACGTTGGATAAGACGTTACTAGTTACAGGGTTCGAAATTTTAAATTATTACATAGTATTCTTACTGATTTCACTTTTTCGTGTTTATGTTGTCATCAATATGTTACTTTAGTCCATCAATTGTCATCGTTTCTATCTTCTTTTGTCATATTTCATCCTTTCAACAGCTTACTTATAATGAACTCGCTTTCATGAAACTATAAAAACAAGCTCAACAGGGACAATAAATTTAATATGTTTTCATTCTCGATAATCAATCCGCGAAAAATGTATCAATTTTTTCGGTCTCAATCTTGTGTAGCTTTTTTTAATGTACAATCCAGTCATAACAATAAGAAGACAACCTACTTTTCAGTGTAGTAAAACTTCATTCCTAAAATTCCTAATCAGATATATAACATATACTATAATAGCGATTATTAATGGTCTCCGTGTTTATGATATCATTTTAATAATCTTGTCATTAGCACTACCCCGGCAAGTCTTCTTCTATAATCTTAAATATTTTCACCTTAGCCTTTGCTGACTCGTTAATTGTTAATGTTGCTTATTTCTTTAATGTATGAAGTTCATTATAATTTTGATTTAACACAACAATCCATTTTTGTCCTTTAGAGCCTTATAAGATACGTGTATAAGTACAGTTTACAGTGCAAAAGAAAATGTCAGATTCAGCTACAAAGCTAACAAAACGAGTAATTTCCTATCAAAGCCAATAATGATTTTTTTTACAAATTATTAATTAGAGCTTCGAGACAACTATTACTCAATTAATCAATTTACTCTATATAACTGTTTGTACTAATATTGTATTGCTAATATACAAGAATTTTGTAATTATTTCTATCATTGGATTGAACAGCACCAATATAAGTTTTTTCTGCCAATTGACTAACACTGCAATGTTATTTCACGTCATATAACGTATGAAAACTAAATTTTATACGATAAAATATATTTTATCATTTTACGCACTAAATTAAGATTTTATCCGACAAAAAATATTGTGTTTATATTCTATTCGAAATGAGCATTTGTAAATTATTGGCATACGTAATCGCAGGATACTTGCAAATTTGTCATCCATCTGTGTATTGAGTGCACTCTTTCTTCGTATTGGAACACGCGTTGAATAATTATCGACAGAAGTGAAAGATACGTAGGTATTATAT